TATGTATACTTCATTGTTGCTGCTAGAGATTCCCTGCCTCCTGATTCCATTGCTCGATTGATAGTTGCAAAAATTGGGATAATTGTCACAGTTGTTGATGACAGCCACCTCACATCACCACTACAAGTCACCTTTTCGTTAAGGTTTTTACGACAAGTGTAATAATATGCTTCTTTTAACATGTAAATATCCTTAATGCTTGGCAAAATGATACTGGAGTGTCCAAATTTTTGAACCTGTGGCTGTTTCTGTTGTTCTCTGATGGATGCCTAGCATAGATAGAATATGATTATTTGTGTACTTGTGTAAATTTGTCATCTATAATGCAATATTTTGACACGCTAACATTACCTTCAAAATAACACCGTCCGTGCATTGCACGGGTAAACGACTAGTTTTAAAATAAGCAAAAAAAACAAGAAGTACAATCTTTTTTTAAAAATACGCTAATTAATTCACACTATAATTTTTATTTCTTACAACACATTTTAATTATATTTAAAATTCTTAATCTTTACTTATTATAACATTTATGTCCCTAACAATTTTTCATATCATTTTTATCCTAAACTTTTCACCTGTTAACAAATTTTGTATTGATAATAGTTTTATATCCAAAAGTCTAATGATATGGAGTAAAATAACTTTTTTTTTTTTTTATCACAATTCTAAAAAAAAAAAAAATGTGAAAATATTTTTCACTCATTTCAAAGTATGAAAATAAAATATTTTGATAGAAATTATCATCAAGAACAATACGTACTGATTAATGGAATGTTAAAAATAAGAATTCAATTGAAAAAAAAGTTAAGAAAATAATTGTTACAAGAGCATTGCTACTTGTACATAATAATATGTACATCAAGGTGTCCACCCCCTCACATGGAGGTGGGGCTCACTTGGAGATAATATTTTTTATTCAAGTGGGTCCCACCCTCATGTGAGAGGGTGAATACCTTGATATACATATTATTATGTACAAGTAGATAATTCCTTGTTACAATGGGCAAAGATTGAGGAGTTTACTATAATTAAGTTGTGGTGGTAACAAATAAAAGTTGTGGTGTCAATATATCCATCCTAAAAAATATTTACCTTACATTTCAAATCATGCTCATAAAAATTCCGACAGAAACCTTAATTAATGATAAGGTATTCTAATTAATAAAGGTTAAATATAATAATGTGACGTAAAAATTTTGAATATAGGTACTAGAATGATCTTTTGAAATCTTAAAATTGCAATTATGGTTGTGTTACGTATACATAATGATTGACATACATATGATTGTATCAAACACTGACGGATCTAGGGAGTCCGGTCTACCCCGAGCCCAATGAATGTTTTTTAGTAGAATTTTTTTTTTATATAAAAAAAAAATTTCTTGTGTAATTTTTTATTAAACATATAGTCCGGCCTATAATTCGGTCCTAGATCCGTCCCTGGTATCGAAATTCCTTCAACCTAATTTTAAAAAAAAAAAAGAAAGAAACTTCACCACTCTTTTTTTACCCACATTTATATGTAAATCATTATTTACAAGTACCATTATTATTAAACTTGGAAGGCCATTATATGTAGCCTTCTCTTCCTTCTTTCGTAAGGGGAACAATCGTAAACATGTATTTTTTATTTTATTTTTCCTCCCTTGTGTGGACCCATCGAAAGTGTTGGACCAAATTAACCCTTTTCCACTACAGTACAACTTATCGTATTTATTGTAAACTTCGGTTGGCGATTTTTCTAGCAGAAATATTGGCCTCTGCTGACTTGGCTTGGGCTATGGTCCAAATGATTGGGGTTAATTACACGAATGATACAGAAATNGAAATTTTATCGCTTGTATCAAAATCACACAAAAAATGAAAGAGAAGTGCTACAAGTACATAATGTTACACATAATGTTGTTCATAATTACACGTGGCACTGGATCCAACCTTTAATTCAAATTTCACACTTTCACATCAACAACAGAATTTTGTCTACATCACATTATGGACATCATTATGTACCCAAATTATATACACATAAAATTTTCCAAAATGAAATTTATCTTAAAATTATATAGGAACTCACGAAATTATATTGCATCCTTAAAAAAATTAATTGACGTGGCAAACAAGAAACACAAGTGTCACGGAAATAATGTTTAAAAGAATAATACTATTAATAGTGCGAACTATCAGTAATCGTCTTGCGGGGACATACATTGAACAATTTGTTATTTGATGCATTAATGTAGTATTTTTTATTATCCCGATCACCAAATAACAGACCGTCACGCGTATGTTATGAGCAACTACTGATAATCCTCACTATGGATAGCATTACTTTGTTTAAAATGTACATGTCACCAAATTGAATTTGCCAAGTGGAACCTTAAAAAGGGAAAATGGACAAAAAACTAAAAAATAAAAGTCATCCCTACTTAATGCCCCACCCCATCCTTCCCCTGACTCTCCATTCCCGTTCACCTTGGTACCACCACCACCACACCGCACCGCACCTTCCTCTCCACTATCACCGTCTAGTGGTTGTGGAAGGGCAGGGTGTGGTAGTTGCAATGGCGGCAGCGGGGTGAATGGGTGGTGAAGAGGATAACTATTATTTTTTCATTTTTCTTTGTCCATTTTTTGCTTTTGTTTGTTCAATTTTAATGACGTGTTTTCTATTTGCCACATCAGTTATTCCATAAATTTTGGCTAATTGATGTTAATTTTTATATGGATGTAAAATAATTTTTTGAGTTCATATATAATTTTTATCCAAGAGATAAAGCTCATGTACTATTCACATAATTTACCTCATATGAATAAGCTCATATTAGGTTTAGCTAGTTAACTATTTAAATGAAGAAAAGCCATAAACCAATCAATAAAATTCTCACAAATTATCTGCGACGTTTCCACCAAAAATGATGATTTGGTACTTCATGCTCAAATTTAGAAATTTAGCAGTCATTAATATATTCATTAAATCATTGCATGAATTTTATTGAAACATACATCAATTCAAGTCTCTAGGCACTAGTCCAAGTTGAGAAAAAAAAATCCAACTTTAAAATATTTGATATATGACTGTTATGCGACGATAAAATGAATATTTAAATGATTATATTATTAGAGACTATTCGTGCAACTATAATAAAGATTGTAAATCACAATGCTCCATTTAAATATTGCAAATCGAGTTGCTCTAAAAGTAGGTTAAAGACTATCACTGCAGTAAGCCGAGCTCAAGTGGTAAAAGCGAAGCTTTACCTTATTATTGACTTGGGTTTGAGTCTCGCTTGAAGGAGAGGATGTAATTCAAAAATAAAGAAAATGACAAAGACTTGGGTTTGAGTCTCGCTTGAAGGAGAGGATGAAATTCAAAAATAAAGAAAATGACAACTACAGTTTATCAAGGAAATCCGAAATCCCAATACAAGCCTGGTAGATAGCAAACTACAGAGGTATTGTCAATTTAATTCATCTCTCCACTTCAACAAGGTAATATTAGCACATAGAAAAATAGTCTTTATGCAGCTGCTTTCCAAGTTGACAAAGGGGGAGTGTCTGAAGTTTCCCATGTTTTCATATCAGTAGGACATCGAGAGCCCTTGACGGCATCAGCCGAAGCAATAGATTCAAGCTCAACCGTGTCTTCTTTTGTCAGTTTTACAGACAATGCTCCGATGTTGTCATTGAAATTCTCGATTTTTGTAGTACCGGGTATTGGACACACATCACTTCCTTGATGATGTACCCAGGCCAAAGCTAGCTGTGAAGGAGTGCATCCCTTTCTATTTGCCATATCCTTCACTCTCTCGAATAGTCTTGTATTATGCTCCAGATTCCCGGGTTGCAATCTTGGTACTAACTGCAAAAATCGTAAAGCACATCTTCCAAACTCGAAAGTATAGCCACAAAAAGTAAAAGGAGTCTGAGCATATATCTAGTGTTACTTTTGATATTTAAACAGACTATCCAAAAAATTACATTTTAGAAGTGGGATCAATTCAGCAACTAGACACGGTTAAATGTTGACCTAATAATGGTCATTCATTAGCCAATAGTGAGGGCATAACTAAATTATATTCATAATTCCAAAGGCTCTTAGCTGTATATGCACCATAAATCATAAAAGGTGATGGTGTGCACAACAAACACACAGTAATTCATACTTGAATTTGAAGCTTAGAAGGGATCGAAGTATAAAACAAACAGACCTTTCGAAAGTCCCCTCCGGAGAAAGTTTCAACCACTTTTGGGCCGGATGAAAAGAATCCCCGTCCAAGAGGACTGTATGCTACTATTCCAATGCCAAGTTCTCTAAACAATTGAACGAAGGACAGAATTAGAAATTTATGTTGCTTACTGGCTCAAATATAAAAATTATCACAATGATAATCAAACCTGCAGGTGGGAATGATTTCTTCCTCCACGTCTCTTGTCCACAAAGACCACTCCAACTGCACTGCTGTAATTGGATGAACAGCATGTGCTCTTCTGATTGTTAAAGCCGAAGCCTCAGATAGGCCTATGTATTTTACCTTACCCTCTTCTACTAGTTTCTTTAGCTCTCCAATCTTGAGTGAAGAAATATCCAGAAAAACAAGAAGAGGCATAAGTAAAAAGCATGTGAAATCAAGTCGAAGAATACAAAAGAGACAAGAATAATTGTATATACACAAAAGTAGGTTTATTACTTTATTAGCAGGTTCATTTCTGCTGCCCAAATCTTGACATCCAAACTTTACGATATCTTGTTTTTTTTTTCCACGGTTACGTCAATTTTCATTTCATCACAGGGATTAAACTGTGGTGAAATCCTTTCTTTTTCTTTTTATCTTTTTTAATTATTTTGAGTTATGTAAAAGATGATTCTTTAATGTGGAAAACATGTATTTCCTTGATTTGTATCAAATTGGATCAAAGACAGGTTACTAGGAAAACAACTTCAAATCCATCACCAGCAAGAAACAACTTACTATAGAAGTCTTCATACTCTTTGCAAACTTGCATACACGGGGAAATATACAGCCTCCTACTTCAGTCAACATGCAACTGATAAAAGGCCTGTTTGATGTAGATTTTTGGAGAATAGATTTTGTAAAAAGTGGTTTTTTTTTTTCTTTGTAGAATGTGTGATTAAAAAGTAGCGAAAAGTTTTGGGTTGACGTGCGAACTTATTTTATTGGGAGAATGTGTGGTTAAAAATGAGTTTTAACTTGTGAATTGCCGGCCGGAATCGTGCCAACTATGCCAAAGATACATATTGTGTGCAATATAAATGAATTATTATAGTTTTAGTTTATACTTTGATGTGTTTGCTAGTAGTTGTTAATTAGGGATACATTCGTCTAGGAGGAAGAAGGAGAAAAATATAGAGAAATAGTTCCTTTAGTTAGACAATTGTATTCATCCAACTACTATTCTATTTGTTGGAACGAACAAGAAGGTCGCCTTTACAGAGAGCATGTTGTAAAAGGATATACCATTATTAGAACAGATTGCCAGCGAACATAACTCAAGCGTCGCTATTGCTCAAATGTTTGTGAAGATAAGAATATTTCTTAGATGAAGATCCAAGACTTCAGTAATACAATTCGTCCTTTTGTGTGTTGCTATCCTTAGTTATGGATAAATCGTTCCTGGTTCTAGGAAATACTAGCTGCAAATAGAGAACTTGGGACCATAACTATGAAAAACACTTGTTATGCCCCGTTCCTATGCTCGGCGAGAAATAACCATTACCTTGGCTAGTGTCCGCAAATATATATACATTCCTTTTTTAATCCAATCCCTCCTTTGTCCATGAGGGAATAAAATACCATATGCTTACCGTTGTCTAAAAGGCAGTTCGTGTAGCATGGTTGTACAGATCACGTATGAAAGTATTATGCTTGTGAATTTTTACTAAATATATTGGTTCAAGTACTGTATTGGACTGCTGATATCGACCGTCCAATTTTAATCAAACTATCAGGTTAAGGGACCAAATGGTGAACAGATCCATGATGTCCGTGATAAGATAAGTGAAAAGCACGAGTTTTTGTCTTACCATCAAGGAGTTTATCGTTTTTGTTTCACTAACAAGTCCCCCTATCATGAAACCATAGACTTTGATGTGCATGCTGGCCACTTTACATACCACGATGAGCATGCTAAAGATGGTAAGCATGTTTCTCTGCTTCCTTAAATCTGTCTCTGATGGAACCTTCTAGAATACTAAACATAGCGTGTTTTGTTTGACATCTGCAGAGCATTTCAAACCTCTCCTTGAACATATTGGGAAGCTAGAGGAAGCTTTGTATAATATTCAGTTTGAGCAACACTGGCTCGAGGCTCAGACTGATCGTCAGGCAATAGGTATTTGTGCAATTCTTTCAGTTTGTTGTTCTATAATCTCTCTCAGAATTTTTTCCTTACTTTCCTTGTGTGCGAGAATTTTTTCAAATCTGTGACAGCCTTGTGGATAGGTTACATTTCATATCCTAACTACATTTATGTTATTCAAACTGCAGTGAATGAAGGAATGAGCAGAAGAGCTATCCACAAAGCTATTTATGAATCAATTGCTCTAATTGGGGCTTCTGTTTTGCAAGTCTACATCTTGCGTCGTTTATTTGAGCGAAAGCTCGGGGCATCTAGAGTTTAAACTTGGCTCACTAGGGTAATTATCAACGGTGAAATTCTGGGTTTTTGATATACATTTCTCAGCATCCCTTTCCTGGAGACGAATGTAACATTATCACATCTAGGGTTCTTTTCCTTTACAGTTGTTAATTATAATACCTGGTTCAATAATTAGTTGGTTGGAGGTGGAACTGTAAATTGGTGAACCGAACAATGTTACCCAACTCTGCTGCACTGCTTTCAGTTTTTTACCCTCGTCTAATTTATTTTTGACTTCGATCAATTTCTCTCAGCTTATCTATGTTGATTGCAGACATAATATATGCTACCGAAGACACTTGATGGAAACACCCTATGGTGGCAAGAATTGTAGTCTGAAGAAGTGTATGATAGACCTGAATCAAATATTTGTCCCTCCCCATCCCCGACCCTCTCCAAACGAAACAAGTTTTGGTTTACACGTTCTAAAGAAAGCAGAAGTGTTCGACCAGGAGTTGTAGATACTGTAAAATCACTCGAGGAAACACTAACCAGAGCAGGTAGTAAGATTTCCAAAACAAAATTAGCATAACGTAGGTTGACGAATAATGATATCTAGCGCTCTAACACCAGTCTAGGTAGCCACATTTGATGGGTTCAATTAAATGAATCATGTGACATTGCTTTTAAAGTGAACCTATTGTTTAACGACATGCAGTTGTTGCCTAAACCAGTGTTTTGACACCAGTGATGTTAAATAGCATTACTCTTTGACAGATAAATAATATAAAAACATTTGTTCAGCAAATAAATATGCAAGTGATTTTAAAATTAACACCAGAACAATAAAAGTTCTACAGGCCACAGGATAAAAAGATACCATCAAACACATCATCGTGATGATCCACCAAATATAACACACGGAAGAAGTTTCAAGTTTTTCATTCGTCTTTTGCAAAACATAAATGGTGCCGGATAACACCTTCAAATCCTATATAATTTGAGTCGTTATAGACATGCGCTTCTATAATGATCTTTTACACAACCGGATCAAGATTCTGTACGGGGGCTCTGCATGCAGCACAGCCATTTCTTCTGCAAATCAATGAATTATTATCAGCATTAGTCACAATTGATGCCATAGAAAATCACAATGGAATCCTCATTTCACCCTTCTACAGATTTGGCATTACCAGTAAGCAATGGTGCAACTTAGTCAAGAAAATTATACTGGTAGAAATATACTACCAATAAGAATATCCTCCAGAATAAAGGCCAATACTGAAGTTCTCACACAAAGTTATACCAAATAAACCAAACAAACGACAATGAAACATGGAAAAAATGATAACTGCCACTATTTTCAAAGAGCTCTAATGGCCACATCATATCCATTTCACATTAAATAGCTTCATACAAGTGCGTGTGTTTGTGGGGGTGTGTAGCTTCATATTCAATTCTGGAAACTAAAATAAGTCATCAAAGAACAACTTACACCCTGATGTTTTAAAGGTTCCACTCCATGCTTAGTATTTGTATCCATCTTCGAAGGTGACTCGGGTTTCCCACCTGTCTTCTTCTCATCCCTGGCCTTGTTGAAAATGACAGTAAACCCCTCTGCTGAAGCAGGGTCATTAACATCCCAGTCGCCAAACTTTGGCAATGGTCGACCCTTTTCCTGCCCAAAGACATAGATAAATGCAAATAACGCATTAATAAAGACGTGCATGAAGAATTTGAACCCCCAGAAAAACTGTGGCTAACTCAGATATCAAAATTGAAGTTGAAGATTCCAAAAAAAAAGATGACTCCAAGCAAAAGCTTAGCAAAGACAAATCAATTTTTAGTACAGATCAACCGTCAATTGCTATTGCTAAATGAAAGGATCACAAAAATGGAAGCTGAGAGTCCTATATGTCCGAAAGTAGGATAATCAATTTATGACAACTCTTGAACTACATCAAACACAAGGAAGAAAATATCTAAACTCATATTTTAGTAAAATGGAGGTGAAGACTGCACCTTTATACGCATGGCAGCAGGAGTTGCAGCTAGTGACAGCTAGGACTTGCATGAAGATTTTCAAGTTCATTGCTACATTGCTAAATACAAATTTGTAAAAACATAATCGATAGATGCCGTGTTAATTAGTTCTAGTTACAAAAATATTAATTTTAGTGAAGAGAGAACAAAAATATGGAACGCTGCTGTAAATGCAACATATGAGCGTAAACAGTGAAGTGCTTATTTCTGAGAGCTCGAGTTTGTGTGGATCCTTGATGTCTAAGAACATGCTACCAAAAATCATTTCAACCAAATTGACAATGCCAAAATCACACTTCACGATGATTCTTGTTTATAATTAAAGTATCATAAAATAGATTCATATGAGCATAAAACGTGAAGTGCTTATAGAACTCTTGAGGAATCATGTACCTTTGGTTTCTTGATGTCTAAGAACATGCAACCAAATCTTTTGAATCCAAATTGACAGTGAATGCTAAAATAACAGTTCACGATGATCCTTGTTTACAGTTAAAATCTTGCATCTAAAAGTGTCATGAAATAGATATTCACTTTCGAACTTCGACAATCAATTTACTCTAATCCAATGATAGATAGAACCTACCAATAGCCAATTTCATTTCGGTATTTAACAAAATATCCACTTTACAAGTGAATTGAGGAATCCAAAAAGTTAATTGTGTAACTGAAGCAGGATGTTATGGTTCTGAAATTCTATTCACTACAATAACTAGTCCACATAACTTTATCCCAAATAAAGAGCAAAATGGCAACTGCAATGGGGTTAGATACTGCAAACATTGGATGGAAAATAATTGCAGAGAGAGCTGTGTGTAATCTTTTCTTTAGTCAACAACAAAGTCCATTCAAAATACAAGTATACATGTTTTATATTAATCCTCTAGCCCAAAAAAGAAGTTTCTCAAACTACAAACTAAATCTAATTCTGAACGTACAAGATATGTTACATTCACTCTTCTAAATGCATGAAATACCTGTGCTGTACACTTCACTCTAGATCTGTCGTGGAACGCTTGTTCGATAGTTGTGACGATTATAAATTTAAAGAGTATAATGATGATTTTTCATTTGTGTACAACTATTTCAAATAGTCCCGCATATGAATTTTGAATTCTTTTAACCATAGTAGAAATAATATACCAGAAAAATAAAGTAAATTATTTTGCCAATTAGCCTTGCCCACATACATAAAGTTTTGATGTTTGACGAACTTGACTTTCAGATACATCAAGCACCAAAACTCTTACCTGAATCCAAGTAAAGTAGCCTAAAAAGGATCATGTTCAAGTACATCTCAAAAAACCCATAACATCAAAATATCACCACCATCTTTATAACTAACTCAATGTTGCCTTATATGAGAAGGAAGATGTTGCAGGGTGAAGAACGTCTCACTACATGTCACTAAGGATCAATGGATGTAGCATGGTATTACTAAATCCAAGTGAAGAAAGTAACAAAAGAATAAAATAATAGATACAACGGAAAAGCACTGGGAACACAATCATGAATATATTTGTCTGAGAATTAGTAAAATATAAAATTTACTAGAAGTTGACATTACAGGTTTTTGTCATCCATTTTCCATTGAGACCTCCCACATTTAATATGGCACTAAAGATGGTAACCCAGAGTGCTAAACTAGGCTACTTCATAATAAATTTGGATAAGCAATTGGGACAGCAAGCAGTAGAATTCTTCCATCCAACTGTTGCACAAGTTAGAAAATATAATCTAGACAACTGAAAAATTAAAACTTTATTGGTAAAAAAGAGCAAAATGAAATCAATCAAATTCCCAAGTGAAAACTCTTGAAGAAGTTTCCAAATCAAATGGAAACAATTGTACAATGTTTCCATTAAAAAACTATCTTTTCATTTATTTGGTCCCGTTATTTTTCTTTTTGAGATGGGGAATAGGATGACGACAATTCAACATAAAAAAGACAGAAGACTTTTATTTATTCGCTTGAACAACTCCGTTAAACAGAATTCAATCATACAAGAGCAAACATCCATTCAATATTTTTATATAATATATATTACTTAATATTGTCTAAAATTTGGCAAAAAAATAAACAGTACGAACCCATACACCAAAGCGATCGATCAAAACATCAAAAACACAAGAATCTCCTAATAAAATAAAAAGGGATTAGCAGAATTATCAAACAAAAAAAAGAGAACCAATTCAAATCCGATTGAAATAATCAATAAAATCTGAATCTGAGAGAAGAATTCGATTACATACCGACATGAATCCGAAGGAAGGAAGGAAGAGATATTAATAAGAAATAAAGAAAATGACTCGAGCAGTAGAGACAGAGATGGAGCCGTCAAGTGGGTAGAATTTGTATGTATATGCAGCTTATACTCTCAGATAACAATAATGGAACGAGAATATGTAATGTTGTAAGGGAATGTGAGGGATTAATTACTCTTTTTTCATTTTTGGCATTTCGTTAGGGCATGTTTGGCAAGTGGGGAAATGGGGAAATTACTTATTTTTTATACTCGTACACAATTATTTTATTTTATTTTTATCTATACATGCTCACATTGTCACATTTACCGATTAAAAAAAATATATATACTTTCTTATATATACACACTCTTTAATGTCTCGTTTAGCTCTCTTTAAACCAAACATCCTAATATTTTTCTTCTTATGGAAAAGTTTCTCGAGAAATCTACACTAGGTCAATTTTCTAAAATTCTTTTAGCTAGACAAAATTTTGCAGAAAATTATTCAAATATGTTCAAAAACAGTTTCATATTCTCATAAACTTTCAAAATCCATAACACCTACATATTTGAAAAAAAATAAACGAAAGTTATTTTTTGAACAAATCTTCACAATGCATTTATGAAATTTTTATGTATTATGTCTTTAATAAAATGAATAAATTCGATCTACGGTGAAAGATAGAGCGTTTACGATAAATTACGAGTTATGACACTAGAAACAATGATAAGGGTTTATTGCATTTTAAACTAACATGTCTTTTTTGAAAAGTGTCGATAAACATAATACTTCATCCGTTCCACGAAAATAGGAAATTGTCCTATAATTTGAAATAGAAGAAAACATAAATTAAGTCCATTTTTATGGAACGTGAGAGTGAAAAAATAAATAGATAGTATTTGTGAATCTCACGAAATACGTAGAGATAAAATAATTTGACTATTTATAAACACTTTTGTAAATTAAAATCAAAATTTTAGTAGATTTTAACAGAAGTTGATGAAATATGTAGTTAAAAAATTGTGAATTACACAAAAGATGTAATTAAAAATAATTGTTCAACTTGACTTAATTTCAATGTGTGGGGTTCATTGTGAATCCATTTCCATTATTTTATTTATTATTTTTTTTTTTTGAAGTAACAACCACCACCACCAATGAGAAGAGAGAAGATGTATTCTTTTGGTGGAAGATAAGATGCCAACTATATAAAAATTCAACATCAAATTTGCATCATATTAAGTCAAACTTATTTTTAAGTAATTATTTTGTCATATATAATTTTCAAAATCACTTGCTCTTTGGTGTTCCCACAACAAAAAATTAAGCCCTGCTTTTAATAAACTTGAAATCTGCACCATGAATTCCATTCCCTTTATTCCATTCAATCCATTGTTAGGTCGACTCCATTCAATTTATTGCTAGATTGACTGCAATAAGCCATTCAGTTTATTGCTAGATTGACCGCAATAAGCCATGTTAGAGCGTATGCTTTAAAAGTACTCAAATTTATTTCCGCTGATGTCACTGGTGACCTAAGTTCATCCAATCACATGCTTAGGAGGATCTAAGGATAAATTTTATATCAGACAAACAGAAGCAAAATCTTCATCTCATTGATTCAAGAAAAAAAAAACTGTACAAAATGTATATATTTTGTTTTAAGGAATAATCCAAAGACAGGAACACCAACCTGCAACCTTTGCTAGCCGCAGATTAATATACTTGATGAGACGCAAAATTCTGGGTCGAGCTGTTTATCATTTTTAAGCACTTGTATCTGCTTGAAACCGAGTATATACTTTTGAAATTAGAGCAAGAGATTACCGTATATGAATATATGGTAAATGCCCGAAGAGTCCTCTTGCTCTAAAATCCGAGTTCTCCTGTAATACGAGCACCAATGGTGGCAAGTGCCAACTTGCCACTAAATTTAAAAAAACAGGTCAAGAACATTGTGAATAATAGTCAATCTCAAGCTCGAATAAACGAGAGGAGCTTGTTAAGAGTTTAGACATCCTTTATCTGAGTAGAGAAACCTTAAAAATAAGGTTGCAAGAAACCACATATTGAATTAAGACTTGTCAGATTCATTAAGAAGCACCAATGGTGGCAAGTGCCAACTTGCCACTAATTTTAAAAAAACAAGAGGGTCAAGAACATTGCGAATAATAGTCAATCTCAAGCTCGAATAAACGAGAGAAGAGCTTGTTAAGAGTTTAGACATCCTTTATCTGAGTAGAGAAACCTTAAAAATAAGGTTGCAAGAAACCACATAATGAATTAAGACTTGTCAGATTCATTAAGATCCAAAAGAGCTGAAAAAATGTTCACCAGAAGATTGCAATAGGAAATAGATACAGCATACATAGGGAAACACAAGGGAGATTTGCCCATGTCAAGCATACCTCACTGGACTCTCTGGCCATAGGATTCCATATGGAATGTAGATCTTCGAATGCAGAATGAAGAATGCTTTCAGATGTTTAGTATTACGGTTGGCTATCAACTGCAGTTCCGAAAACATGCTTAAAGATGGATTCAAAAATGGAGATCTTTGTAGGTATTAAATAGCTGGTTAGTGGCTCCAATCTCCCTTCTCCATCCAAAAAAAATTCAACTTGTATCATCTATTGGGCCGATACATTACCAATCTTCAGTCTCATTCGTCTGGGATCTCAAAGACTAAACTTCTAACCGTAGTACATTTGTGAACTGCAGATTTCCTATCGTGAGACTTGCAAACAGAAAGTGCAGGCATTTGATAACTTGGAGAAAGCCCAAGATTATTTGATGCTAGCAGAAGGCGCTTTCCAACTTCAGGTTTTTTACACTTGTAACTTGAGGCTTCAGAACCCGTATTGTCTTTCCATGGAGAGTGAGGCATTTGTAGAGGTGTTAGGCCTGTGACTGGTGAAGCTACATCCAACTGAATGTTCGCGAATTTGCAATCTATTCTAGCCTTTGGCTTTTCTTTATGGTTACTCCGGACTGCTTTAAAAGAGAGAGTTGAGCTCGACGTCACTTCATCATTATTTGAGAAGTATTTCTTGATAATTCCTGAAACTGATTTTGATTCTGATAACATCTCGCTAGGTGCCTCTGCCGCTGCATTGAAATCCCACTTGTTGCTCCAATTAACTGCAGCTTGACCAAGCCTCTCGGAAATAAGGTGCCATTGCTCGGAGCTTTGTTCTTGGCATTCAAACATGTGTTTTCTCTTTACTCTCTCCCCCTCTTCTTCCTTTCCCAGAAACTGTCTAGTGTAGGAACCTTCAAGAATCTTGTTCTTCTTTCTTTTGCGTTTCAACTTATTCTTATCACTGCCCATAAAACCGATGAATTCAACAGAACCAGTAACGCCATCACCAGGGGGAATATTATTGTTAATTTTAGTATCACTGCATTCAACTGAATCTATTTTGTTGGAAATATCCCTTTTATGCGCTTCAATTTGAAGAAACCAAGCACTTCTTGAACCCTGAAAAGCATATTTGAGAGGCAATGACTCGGGCAGGTGGTAGTGGTATGATTTCCTCTTTACCTGTTATAGTTCCCAGAAAATGAAGCTTATGTTCAAAAGAAGAACCAATTTCAAAAGAAAAGACAACTAGATTTCCCAGTAAAAACATTGAACTAGGAAATGAAGGAAAAGAAGGCATACCAATAACCCATTCACCCTGATTTTCCCCACTTCTGGGAAACAACTTAGATGTGCCTTTTCAAGCTTTCCTGCAATGAAGAAGTTATACTAATTACTTTTTCACGATCTTAAGAAGCCAAAGTTTTTTTTAAAGAATCCATGTCGTTATTAATGCCAAATATTGTTTTCTTTTATCTCCTCCTAATTTTTCTATATATATGAAACAGTTCTGCTTTCATAATCTTGGATACACCATCATGGTAGTTGAGATTATAAAAGAAAAAACGTTTGAGCTACATGTACATAATGGTTTACATACACATGATGTGGTGAGATACGATAGGGTCAAAAAATTTTCAACCAGATAAAAAAATCTTCTCTACTCTCTTTTCGACACCTTGTAAAATATTATGTAACTACATTATACACAAGTAGCATTATTCAAGATAAGATAGCACTAACACAAATCGGTATGTCCCAATGAACAACACAAGTTCTATAATAAACACTTGTCTTTTAGACAGAAATAGAAGATGAACAGGACAATTATTCAAGTCCATGACAACGCCTGCATCGACTATAAGTTACCAGGAAAATAACAGTTTTTGATTTGCTCACTGAAATTCATTTAAGCCAAGTTTTATTTCCACTGGTTAAATCTTCAATAACTGATGCCTGACAATGTGGACAGGCGAAAGATTTGCTTATTTTCAAGTTTGATTGATATCACGAACATACAGTAGTTCATGGCACTAGAGATAGAAAATAAGGCTTGGCCACAACAATGATCATGAATAGGAACGAATTTTATGGAAGATAACTAAATAAGTGTCTGAGAGATTGATTACCACTAAATGGAAAATTTAAATAAGACTTGATCTTGAGAAAAGAACTCTTACATTGTCTAGCAGTTTTAAGTAACAGAGTGGTTGCAAATCATGCGATATTTTTAATCCTATAGAAACCTTATACCTCATCAAGGGAAAAAAAACTTACTTAGGTCAATGTTGGTTCCTTAACAACATACATATGGTTCAACAATATTTCAAAAAAAATTGCCTTGAGAGTGCATGCAGTAAGTTTTATTCCCATTCCGAGAAAAAGATACAACTATAATTAGCACAACCAAATAGCCGAAACTTTAATTAAATGAATGCTCATTAAACTCTGTCATAGGTACTACTTATGGAACAGAAAAATATTATCCATTGTTCACTTGTCTATTCAAACTGTTAGACATCCATCACTATGGTGAGTTCCATTACTCCCACTTGACGAAAATTGACACGTGTCGACGGAAATAAGACTTGCCTCGCAGTGAATTCATGCCAACTAGGTAAGAAACGCACCAACTAAAATGACACTTTCTTTGCAAATATTTGGGAAAACTTCTTTTGCCAAAGCTGAGAAGGCATCAACCTGAGGTTTTAATCTTTGGGGAAAAAAAATGTTTTCCCAATTTTACAAAGAAAGTGTCATTTTAGTTGGTTCCCAGTTAGCATGAATTCACATTGCCACGTCGAATTTCCATCACATGTGGCCATTTCCGTACCGTACCGTGATGGATGGGAAATAATTTGAATAGATGAGTGAGCAACCTTTTGTTCAACGAGTAAGTAGTAACCCAACCCAAGGCAAAATTTAATGAGCATTCATCTAATTAACTCAAATTAGTGCACAGAAAAGGAATGGCAGCGATGTTCAAATTCTGAGGCAACGTCCCACTTGTGCATAAGCTCAGAAAACTTTTCATCCGGCGACTCTTCAATACTGAATATGTGTTCCATTTGTGCTTTTCAAAAGCACAAAACTCCATAAAGTTTCGATTTTTAAGCAGGTTATCACCGATTAAAAATTAATTTTGGTTTCATTTCGTCAAACTGTGAAACTAATCAAATTCCGAATGAAAAAAAAGGCATTAGTAAATAGTAATGATGAATAGAAATAGGAAAAATTGAAAAAGTTACTTACTCTTGAACTCCTTAGCTGTAATATCTGGGAAAATAGGTAGAGAAATTCGAGTACCCAAATTTGTATTGATAAAAACTGGTGTTTCAACACTGGAAGAAACCATTGAAGGTACCGCATGGAGTTCCCGATTCTCTGTTTATGCATTCGGCTTCAATCACAGAATGGAACCAGGGCAATGTGCGAAACAAGCAGCACAGGAAAGTGAGCCTGTGAGCGAATTAATAATAATTTCTTATATTAATTAAAAATAAATTGAGTATATTTTATTTTGACACATTTTTTGGCACTTAGGCTCGCATTGGTTGCACTCTGTTCCTCAGGTCTTCGTGGCTATGTCAACGAGCCGAGTCGATCCGATCCGATCCGAGCCGAGCCGAGCAGAGCAGAGCTTGAGCCCAAAAAAAAAGGTTTGGGCTCGGCTCTAGCTTTTTTGGGCCCAAGCCGAGCAAAGCTCGGCAAAAAAGAATGAGGCTCGCCCCGAGCTTTCAGCCCGAGCCTTAGCGGGCCAAGCTGAGCCCGGACTGAGCCGATCGGGGTTTTTTTTTAAATATCAAATCTACATTTTTACTAAAAAAATTTAAAATTTGTATGGTTTATACGTACTATAAATTAAATAAAAAAGTTCAGGCTCAGCTCAGACTTTTTTGGCCCGAGTTTTTTTGGGCCCGAGCTAAGCCGAGCAAAGCCCGACAAAAAAAAATGAGGCTCGGCCCGAGCTTGGCTCTGTGTAACCGAGCCTGAGCTTGGCCCGTCTCGAGCTTTTTCCAAGCCAGCGAGCTTTTTTGTCATCTCTAGGTCTTCATTAGTCACACCTTTCATTAACTAGGCCCATCTTATTGGCAGTCAAATAGGATTCATAGTCTTTTTAATGCATTTTTCTTGAATAAGGAGTTTCATACCTATTTTTCATTTTTTTTTTTTTTAATTTGTTGTAAGAATTTCTCTTCATAAATTGACATTGTTTTGCCGTAATGAGAACAAATAAATTTATCGATACAATTTTGCTACAAAGTTCTACTTACATAGGCTTGAGGAAAGGAGTTCGAACTTGAGAGTAACTGGAATTGTGGACGGAATAATCTTTGCTTTACTAGTTAGGACATCTTCAATGGACTACTGAGGAAGGGAAACCTTAATGGAGAATACACGCTACAATATGATATGATGTTGGACCTTGCGAGCTGTTTCGATCAGCTTCCGATGACTGTTTGAATTGATTTAATTAGGCAAGACTTAACGTGAGAGAACCTTTACTATTAATGTAAATTTGAAAAAATTGCCTACACAGTCAAAAAATTATAGAATTTAGGTCATTAAGCTCTTGTTTATTTCTCATTCTTTCCAACTATTTTTTTAAATGTTCATTTTCAATCACATTCGCATAATAAAATATTTAACACGTAAATCCAAAACTTTTTCCATATTATATGACCACACGTTCTCAAAAAACTCGATGTTCAAAATAATATTTTTCCAAAAAAAATGAGAACCAAACAATGGCTAAAATAACATATTTGAAGATACGCCTAGTTTTCGAAAATAATTTCTACCCGCTTCTATAATGTTGCNAATTAAATAAAAAAGTTCGGGCTCAGCTCAGACTTTTTTGGCCCGAGTTTTTTTGGGCCCGAGCTGAGCCGAGCAAAGCCCGGCCAAAAAAATGAGGTTCGGCCCGAGCTTGGCTCTGTGTAACCGAGCCTGAGCTTGGCCCGTCTCGAGCTTTTTCCGAGCCATCGAGCTTTTTTGTCATCTCTAGGTCTTCATTAGTCACACCTTTCATTAACTAGGCCCATCTTATTGGTAGTCAAAGAGGATTGATCGTCTTTTTAATGCATTTTTCTTGAATAAGGAGTTTCATACCTATGTTTCATTTTTTTTTTTTATTTTAATTTGTTGTAAGAATTTCTCTTCATAAATTGACATTGTTTTGCCGTAATGAGAACAAATAAATTTATCGATACAATTTTGCTACTATTCTACTTACATAGGCTTGAGGAAAGGAGTTCGAACTTGAGAGTAACTGGAATTGTGGACGGAATAATCTATGCTTTACAAGTTAGGACATCTTCAATGGACTACTGAGGAAGGGAAACCTTAATGGAGAATACACGCTACAATATGATATGATGTTGGACCTTGCGAGCTGTTTCGATCAGCTTCCGATGACTGTTTGAATTGATTTAATTAGGCAAGATTTAACGTGAGAGAACCTTTACTATTAATGTAAATTTGAAAAAATTGCCTACACAGTCAAAAAATTATAGAATGTAGGTCATTAAGCTCTTGTTTATTTCTCATTCTTTCCAACTATTTTTTTAAATGTTCATTTTCAATCACATTCGCATAATAAAATATTTAACACGTAAATCCAAAACTTTTTTCATATTATATGACCACACGTTCTCAAAAAACTCGATGTTCAAAATAATATTTTTCCAAAAAAAATGAGAACCAAACAATGGCTAAAATAACATATTTGAAGATACGCCTAGTTTTCGAAAATAATTTCTACCCGCTTCTATAATGTTGCTATATTTTATACCGAATGTTTGTAGTTGTGTAACTAAGCCCCCGTTTGATCTATATTATTATTTCATTAAAATGAAAAATATGATCGTTATCTATCACATCAACATTTAAATTCAAATTTTCTATCTCTTATGTGGACCCCAATAATGACTATATTTTTCATTGTAATTCTACTATAATTTGGCTCAAATAGGGCCTAACCCTTAAAAAATTCTGTGTGGGCCTTACGGGCTGGACTTTTGACTGGATTTGGGCTACAGCATTTTCAGTAGAAAAATTGAGCTTTACCACTTTTATACGACGTCGTATACGACTTGATTAATTTCCTAACAGCTGGGTAGGTGGATAAAATATTTGTGCTACACCCTCGTTTTCGTGACACGTAATCACCGGTGCCCTAATCATCTTCATCCCTAAGCAGCAGACAGAGGCTGTGAAATGAGAAGAAGAGAATGAAGTACTTTCTGGTTCGGGCCATGACCGAGGCCCGAAACCAGTTATTCCCATTCAACCGCTCTCTATGCTCTTCTTCCAATTCTTCCGACTTGGCGCTGAAGAATGTGACGAAGTCAAACTTCGAGCCGGCTCTATCCGAGCTCCGGAGCCGCGTTAGGGAAGCTGACTTCGTGTCGATTGACTTGGAGATGAAGGGGGGGTACAAGCGCCCCCTGGCGAGAGTCATTGGAGTTCGACCGGTGCGATATCCGGTACCTCAAGGTCAAATACTCCGCCGAGAAATTCGCTGTCGTTCAGTTCGATGTCTGCCCCTTTCGCTGGGACTCGAATAATCGCTCTTTCATTGATCATCCGTACGTGGCTTAAATACGATGCTATAAGATATGAGAAATAAAAAAGAACTATTTTTAGTTTTACTTTTATCGAAAGTGGGAGGCTTTATCCCATCTTAGTGATGTGTGGTTTCGGCAGGCACAATTTTTACATATTTCCGCGGCAAGAAATTCCAGGTGACTGCCCATCTTACGAGTTTTCATGCTAGACAACCTCCCTTGACTTCTTGGCTAAATACCAGTTTGATTTCAATGCTTGTATTTATGAAGGTGAGTTGATTATTTTTCTTATTATCTTTCCCTCAACCTTAACATTACGATTATGAACAAGTGGATAATGAAGTATTGGCACGCTTTTGTTCGAATGCTCAGGTGGATATTGGAATTCATATACACCTATAATGTTAGCTTTCATAGTGGGATTGCCTGTTTCAGGATTTTGTCTGATAATTCTAGTTGTTGGTTACCCTGACGGTAAAAAATGGAACAAATAGTGCAGAAATGACATGGGTAATTGAATTTAGTATTCTGTAGTTAAAGGATGTTTATTTATTTGCACAGCCTCATAAAAGTACAGTATGATGGTATGCAGATTATTTCGATTGTGAATCATGAGATTGTTAATGCCTCCGTAAGATGAGTACTCTGATGGCTGATCAATGATCCTCATGAGATGGTCTTTTGATCTGTGTTGTATTTCTTTTTGTTTGCTTTACGGCTCTAGTAAATGGATTTTACTTGTATTATTTTCTTAAATTACTCTATGCTATCAAGTCTGATTTCAACGACACTTCATTTGTTTTATTCAGGAAAAGTTGCTATTATTTTGTTACGGGTCTTTCTGGAAGTTCAGTTCCAGTCATCATAACTTATTCTACACACTCATAACCTTAGAATATCTCCAGTTGTCTGTTGATTTTATTTGGAGATTTTACACTCTTAAGTAATCCCAGGAATATCTTATTTATCCAGAAGCCAAGAGGAGGAAGCATTGAAACGGATAAATTCAGTGTGCAAGGACGAGTCTTCTAAGTCATTCTCTAGCTTAAAAGTTGGTGCAGACACACAGTTGGTTAGAATGACAGATATTTTGTTTGCTGAGAGAATGAAGAACAAAATTGGTGAATGGCGTGCTGGATTGTTACACAATACAAATGAAGTATCTGGGTTTCAGGGAAGTTCAAATGACACAAATCAGAATTTGCAGACTACTTTCTTCAAGATGCGTCCTGCCCTTGTTTTGAATGCTTTGACTTCTCGCCAGCTAAGGTTGATTGAGTTGGTAATGTATTTTGTCCCCTTCTGCTTTCATTTTTCTTCGTTAGTTGTCATCATGGACCTGAAGTAAATAAATATAGGATTTTTTATATTCCACTATTGACCTCTTGCTCCCACTACATTCCTAGAAAATAGTTTCGATGGGTTATATGTTGCCGAATTATCCATCATTCTTCCGTCCTTACCCTCTATCTCTGGCAGTGTGCACATGGATTCTGTTTATCTTTGCAATTATATTATCATGAACTTTGTTTATTAATTATTTTGATGGAATGCTGTGTCTTTGTCTATTTGTCTTTCCATGTATTGATATAAACCTTTGTGTTGTTTTTATTGTTATTGTTATTTTCATTGCTACTGTTATTGGAAAATAAAGGTCACCCAAAAGCACTTTGAAGATCTTGCATATGTCCATGCGACTGGTGAAACTTCCTGTCAGCAACTATTAGTTGTCTATACAGATTCCACTGCAGACAAAGATTTGCTGATGGTAAAACTTACCTTGACACAGTCTTCTGTTAAGTTTTCTTTTTATTTGACATCTTTCGTTAAAATAAGTAGTTTCTTTCACCCTTGAAACTTTGTGAAGACTGCAAATTATTTATTTATTTAGTCGTAGTTGCAAAAGGAATTTCAAGTTTTTATATCACGTGTTAAAAATATGTAGAGAGACGTTGATATAATTTCGAGTGTCCATAATATTTGTGCATGATGAAGATAAAAATGTTACTGAGATCAATAATGGATGTTTTATTGCGGTCTGTTCCTAATAGTCACTTGATTTCATATGATAATAATATAATCTCTTTGTACCTTTTTATTGAGCAGAGGGAGATTAAGGATTGTCGTCGAAAAGAAGCAGTAAAGAATATTAAAGCTGCAGTGGGATTTCGACATGTTATTGATCTCCTTTCCACTGAAAGAAAGTTGATTATTGGTCACAATTGTTTTCTTGGTACTATTATTACATACAATTTTCTTTTCTAGAGTTGTTCTTCATCTTTTAAACTCTATATTTCCTTGTGATGATTTGTTGGATTGGTGCAGATATAGCGCACGTATACGACAAATTTGTTGGTCCTCTTCCTTGGATGGCTGAAGAGTATGTCTCACAGGTTCAAAAGCAATTTCCATACATAGTTGACACAAAAGTACTGCTAAATTCAGATAGCCGTTTTATGCATCTTGTAAAGAAAGGCAGCACATCGCTTTCCAAAGCATTTACCTTCATGTGTCCGCAAATTGCATCTTCCAGTATCTCGAGCGTTATTTTAGCGGATAAACCATGTGTTAAGGTGGAGGTTCATGTGGATGATAAGAGGTTGGTTCTCCTTGTTCTTCTTTCCCTTAAATTTTCTTTTTAATGTTGCATAATTCTTTTTTAATGCTTAATTGATGCACTCTCTGTAGCTTGACATAAAAAAATCTTTCTTCTACTAATATCGAAAGTCATATTACTTTATAGTTAGGTTTATACAGTGTTCATTCAAGCAAGTGGAGATTGCTCAAGGCATATTGAATTTTTAATTAAGTTTCTGAATTTGCCGATTTTTGCCCCATCAATCATAATATGGCAGAAATAACAAAAGAAGAATAATCAATTGGTAGAATGCTGAGAATTAATGTCAAGAATTTTAACTTTCCAGAAGCCCTAATTTTTCTTTATCCCAATGTCTAGTTGAGAATATTTAGTATCAAATATGCTGATCTTTCAGTAATCTAAAAGTTATCCAGAAATGTTTGCTATGTAGACCAAAAGCCATTCAATCAGTGTCCAACTTTGTGGAACTGAACATAAGCACCATCAAAACCCACTGAACTAACAACTTTTTTAATGGTAGCCGCGATTAATAATGCATCAGTCATCAATAATTGAGCACAAGAACTGTTGTTTGTAACTGTAATCAATCCCCTCGTTGCGTTATGTATCCGTTTTAACTGCTTATAATTCTTCCATGCGATAGTTGCATGTACAGATAACCTTTACCATTTTTCCCATCATCAGTTTATGTGGTAACACACACTTAAATGATTTTAAATAATGATATCGAATCAATATATAATTAGATTGGGAAAATGACTTGGGAAGGAAACCTAGTTTGAGAACAGCTATGGAAGAGACATTAAAAATTTGTCATATTGGAACAGGGACTGAAATTTTGGTTCATCTTTGCAGATTCTCAAATTGGAACTCTGGAGCCAAGCATGAAGCTAGATATGATGCTTTTATGACAGGATGTGTTTTTGCTCAGGCATGCACTGATCTAGGAATTGATTTCAATCTTCATGCACTTCCTATCGATTTAGTACACAGTGAGAAGCTCCAGAAGTATATAAATCATCTGTACCTTAACTCGATAAATGGAGACGTTGTAGATCTTAGAACAGGGAAATGTCTTGCTGACTCTATAGGTTCTACGAATATTAAGCTTGGGTACCCAAAGATTTTGTTCTCGAATATAGTTATATTGTGGGATCTACCATCAAAGCTAAAGGCAAGAGAGATAAAAGAATGTATGTAAAGTTTTTGGCTCAGATTCTGTTACCTCCGTTTTTCACTTGGATGAGACTGCATCCTTTGTTCAGTTCAGCAAACAAGAATTTGTCTCTCGTTTTCTTGAATTGAAGGACACCTTAAAACAAAAGAATGATCCAATCTCAGTTTTGCATCCCCTATCTAAGATTTTGGAAGGTGGACATATTCGTGCCGCCAGTTATGAAATATATAAAGAGATTTGCAGTTCTCCTATATCAGAGGTTCTATTTTCTGATCAGGCTGAGGCGGTGGGCATTGAATGGAGAACCAGACTGCTAGAACCTATTGTAGAAGTTGAAAAACAGGAAGACAACACTTCTAGTGTTTCTCATGGCAAAAACGAGGTGTGCCCTACAAAAAATGCGAGTGGTGCTCCATCAAGCTGCCATTTTCCAACTGATGAACTCATAGACTCTTTATATCCATTCAAGCTCAGTTGGGCAAATAGAGTAGATATTTTTTTGGTACGAAATCGAAAATTTTATAGGGTACACATTCCTTGTTGAAATTATGTTTGGCTAGCAAAAAGGATCCCTATATTGGTTCTTTATTCCAATGGGGAATTGCTGTAAATGTAATGTGAGTAGAAAGACATATTTTCGTTTCTCCACGTAAATTTAGACAATTATGAAAACCCGCGAGTTATAATGTGATACAAGATCTCCACAATCTGTCTTATCTTTTACCATTCATATTTCAGATTCATTTCACAGTTTTCCATAGGAATTTTCTTGTCTTCTTGCAACAATTTGACGGACTAAGGTGTAAAGTGAGTCGGACTAGCATGATTTGGATCATATATTTCGACCCATGAATGTTCGGGATAGTTTTCAATAAAAGAATTACTGAAATCATTGAGTGTCACCGCATCAAGAATAAACTACAATGTCACTAAAAAGCAAGAAATCAAAGCAACCTAAGAAAATCTAGCAACTAATGAAGCCTAAATAACAATAATGTCTTTTACATGAACAAGTAGAGAACAATAAACAGGCCTGTCACAACAGTCGTGAAATAAGACAAAGCATAGAGCTTGGTGGTAGAATTAATGCCCGGTGGTTCCCAGTTGTCTGAATCCCAACCACCACCAGCTCCTCCCGGGGATGGAGCTGGCCCAGGTGACTCCACTTCAGAGGGATGCATCACTCGAATAATAATCTTTTGACCAACTTTGCAGTGATCAGACTGCCCGCTGATGAAATAGAAGAACCCCGAACGATCAAATTGGAAAACTGTGTTTCCATCTTCAAATTTGGACATAGGGTTTGAAGTGTTGCAGTTCAAGTAATCAGCAGAGTTCACCTCCAGAACTGAGTCATTTCTGTACTTGAAATCTGAAGCAAATAGAAAATCAACAAACTAAATGCAAAAACTAGTAAATATTCATAGAAATCACTTACAAACTGTATCTCCAATATGGAATCTGTTTTTAGCAGCCCATTGATTGTATGTCTGAGGATCCTTTCCAGTTGGTTTAATCCACCCTTTCTCATCTCCAACTTCGAAACGGTACGAATTCACCAAGACAGCAGCAAGAATGGTTGACAGCAAAACAGTTTTGAAGGTGATTGAAGCAGAAGCCATTAGAGATATTAGCAGAAATATTGTGAAGATTTGTGTTTTGAATGCTAGTGCAGAAGATCGTTATATAACACAAGTGAGAGTATAAAAATTGATGTTTGAGTTCTTATAATAGGGAAAGGGAAGCCATGGCAGGCAGTTATATTTGAGGTATATGGAGAGGGAAGAGTGGGAAGTGGGATGTATCAGTTAAGCTTACGTGACTTGTTCCACTTTTCAAATGCTTGAAACAGTCAAACTTTGGGTTTAAAATTAAAAGGGAAAATTCCCCTAAGGACTCCAATTTTTTTATATTAATTAAACTCTTAACTAAGGTTTGGCCTCATTTTGAGACGACCACGGGTCAAGCAGGAAACCACTTTACACGAGGCGCTGGATCGTGGAGGTTCGGTTCGGCCCTTTAAATCGTGGCTTCATGCCAAGTTCATGTGTTTAAAGGTCGAGCTGACTCGACTCAGTTTATTTTGACCCCTGATGCAATGCGTTCACAAGAGATATTACCTTCAATATATGAATTTCTAAAATTAATTTTTTACTAAGTCGAAGCAGTCAACATCACACGACATACTTCATGTAAAAACTTCCTGTCTTAGTTTCTTCCTCGTGGCAAATGTAAATTATAACACGAAAAAATCTTTAACGGGATAAAGTAAACTTGACTTGTCAAAATCTCATGTGTGATTGTGTGTTCAAAACTTGTGAGCTTGTGCAAAAGATTCTCATAATTCTTTCTATTTTACATGCAAAAACGTTTTATTGACCTCATGAAGGAATTCCATTTACGATTGCATAGACAGGGCACGAGGACACTCAGAGAATTTGAGACTAAAAGTCATTATCAAGTTATATTTAGCTAAACATGAAGAAAATGTTAGGGTCGGTTTATTTGTGTTTCAATTTTCAGTTTTGAATTCATTTTCAATTTTTTGTTTTGAGGGTCTGTTTAGATTTTTAAAAATGCGTTTGGTTTATTGTTCTGAAAAACTATTTTTTAAAACAGAAAATTAGAAAACACGTTTGGTTTTAAAAAAATTTAAAATTGTTTATAACATTTTACTCAATGAAATTTGATTATTCAGTAAAAACAGAACGGGTATTATGTTAATATATTATCATGTAATATTATATTTTAAAGTTGGTAAATCTTACAATATTTTTCCTCGCTACAAAAGTAAAATAAATAATAAATAATAAATTGAGTTAAAAATACATGAAACAAAAATAAAAATTAATTATGTGGATTGATAATATTCTTATCTACGTTCACTTAAATATTATTTTTATGTAAATCATTAAAAAATTGAACTATTTTCATTTTTTATTTTTTGAATTTACTTTTTCTTTATTTTTATTTTTTTTTAAATTTTGTTGGTTAGAATTTTATATTTTTATTTTTTAAAATTTAATTTTTAAAAGTTTGTTTAAACAAAATTTTATTTCAATGTTTCTTTTCCTTTTTTGAGTGTGTTCAATATTTTTACAAAAAACACTTAAAATTTCAAATGCGTTTTGAGTTTTATATTATAAGTTTATTCTTGTTTTTGAAAATGCAATTTCAGAAACACCAACCAAACACATTTTCAACGTTTTACAAAAATGAAAACAGTTTGAAAACAGCAAACCAAACACACTCTTAGTTATTAACCTATTTTGTATACATGCTATCGAGTTGTATAACGTCCGAGATACGTAAAGAACACAATATTCACTTTAATTATAAAAAACTCTCACACGAGAAGGACTAGTCGAAGCAGTCAACAAATATCCCGTGTAAATTAAGCTAGTGAGTCGTATCTCGTTTAGTTACTAAAGTGTAAAGAAATCAAGTTCTACTTAGATCATGAAATATCTCGTGCAAGTTAAGCTAGTGAGTGATATCTTGTTTAGTTACTAAAGGGTAAATAATACAAGTTCTACTTAGAAAATAAAATCTCTATGCAAGATAAGCTAGTGAGTCGTGTCTTTTTCCGTTGCTAAAACGTACATTATACAAACTCTAATTTATTTATAAAAAGCTCTCGTACACGTTTATAAACACTTCCCGAACATGCTTTTGTTTCAGATCTTTCTTTTGAGAATCTGAATTCAGTTTAATTGACTGGTCAAATAATAATGTTATACTATGGTGCGTCACTTTCCAAGCGTTACAAAATCTCCATGCTGGCCAGTCTCTATAAATTGGGTCTCTCCTAGTTCACTACTGTTTCATTGCAACACCATTTTCAGTCTCTCTCTCTCTCAGACATACAATTCTTTGCATCAATGGCAATTCGATATTACGATGCATGACTTTCCAGATTAACATATGTGTATAATTATTTTGCAGGTAGGGGGAAATTGCTGGTAAAGTAGGGAAATTTGTTGACAGAAGAGAGAGAGCACAACCCGGCATCGGCAAAGGGTCTTTGTTTATGGTGGGAGTGTGCTTTCTCGTCTTCTGTCATCGACGACGCCGCCCTTTTACTCTCAGATCACTCTCAGCCTTCTCATCTGGTTTTTTCTCAACTTCTTTTTTTTACAAGTTAATCTGTTTTCCTGCTGAAATACACCCTCAGATTAACATTGTGTTTACACTTCACACACAAAACTTATGAAATTGTTTCGATTGAATCATTTGTTGATAAAGAAATATCGATTTTGTTGAAGTGTGTTGAGTGGATGAAGATATTGGTAAGATGATATCAATAAGCTAAACGATGCTTCCACACTCGATTTTGATCTCAAAGCATTTTAATTCGTCACTTTATGGATATTAATTTGATGGTTTTTTAAATGGAATCAACAGTAAAAGCAAACACAAAAGTTTCACCATCGAAAAAATCACCAGCTTGAAATATATGGATAATGACTTGATTGGAACAACTTTGCAAATTTTGGGACCATATAAGCTAAAAATAAGTTTGCCAATTTGAAAGTTAAGTGATCAGATCACCGATAGAGTTGGGAAAAATTCACAATTAAGTCATTAACTATGTACAATTCAAAAATCAGGTTTTAAGTGTAATTAATGCAAAAATCAGGTATTTATTTATTTATTAAATATATTTTATTAATTAAATATAATAAAATCACAATTATATAATTAATGGTCACATCAACTTATTTATTGATCACGTATTAAATAATTAATTGGTCACAGATTAATTCGAGATCACAAATCAAAAATTTTATAGGTCACATTCTATTGGCCACAGATAAAAAAATTATAGATCATAATTTATCAATTAGTCACATATTTTAAATTTGTTGGTCACAAATTATCAAATTTTAAGATCACATTTTATTTTCTTGGTCACAGATAAAAAAATATAGGTCACAATTTATCAATCAGTAACGTATTTTCAAATTTGTTGGTCACAAATTATCGAATTTTGAAGTCATAGGTAACCAAATAGTGGGTCACATACGACCATCACCTACACTTCCGTCGTCGCCACTGCCTACACAGCAGCACCACCAACATCACGACATCACCACCAACAAGATCGCGCCACCAAATCCAATCGATCGCTAACAAAAACCATGACAATCAACTCTATCAGATCTCCAGCCACCAACAACCTCCATCCCATCGCCGCTACCAGATCCAACACCAACCCCATAATCGTCGCTATCACCACAACAACACCAACACCACAGTATCATCACCAACAAAATCGTCACCACCACATCCAATAAAAAAATCCTAAATCCACCACTACCTCCATCCCTGT